TTTGAACTTTAGGTTGTTCTTTCTTCTTTTCTTTGGCAGAGGTTTCCTTATTGAATGCAATAGATTGGATAAGTAACTGCTAGCTTGGCAAGTTAGGCATTTTATTTAAGGACACTCACGTCAAAAACGCAACACGCGTACACGCAAATTTAAATATTACTAATAAAAATTAAATAACCTGTTAAAAATTGATTCCCCAGAAAAATGCAGCCAATGAGGCATCAGATTCAGTAGTTCTGAACTTGAATGTGAAGATTTTATCCCTGATCAGATAAAAAATTTTTCCTCGCTTCCATTTTCTTCAGTTTTCATCTAATTAAACAAATTATTAGGGTCTCACCATCATAACTGGCAGGTTTTTTCATCTAAAATTTCCGTAAATTTCGTATTGTATTTAAAAAATATTATATAATTTAAATTATAATAAACTATATAACATTTATTATTAAATAAAAAACAGATCCTCTAATGTTAAGTACTATCCGTTATAACCATCCTTTTTTTTTTTTTTTGTAAAAATGGAGAAACTTGAGAGTGAAGGAGTGACTGCAAACACAAAACTTTGATATCCTAAACACCACTCCTTTCATATGGCCACTAGATCAATAAATAATGGACAACCATCCTTATCTTGCATTATTGTGTACTACAATAGTACAATGTACTAAAAATATAAAACTCTCAGTAAAATGTATGTGCCAATGATTATGCCATAGGGTAGAGCTTAAAAATAAGAATGTGGCCCACCTTGAGCTGTCCAGTCGGACCAGTCCTACCGGTAGAGCCCAATTGAGTGATTTTGGGCTGTCTCCAGAATTGTTTATGTTACATTCGATGAACGGTATCCACAAGAGTATAAAATGCAAAGCATTATGCTGGGATCAATCATCATATTCTTCCATCACATGCGCAAGGTTAAAACTTGAAAAGCATAGAAAAAGGTCTGCAGCACTGCATTCTTGAAAGAACTGTGACCATGAACTTTTGTTCCCGTTCCCGAGTAAAATTTCAGCAACAAAATTTTTTATGGACCAATCTCCCAATATTCTCTGGAATACCAGCACAAAAATCTTTATGTAGTAATTTCTTTTTAACTAAAAAGAATCAAATTAATTGATGCGATTAGGTTCTGGCAAGTGAAGTGGAATTACTGCCAAGAGACTCCCATGCTCATTATTCAATGAACGAGATTAGGCAAAGTGGAAATTTTCTTGTTAACTCCGAAAAAAGTAGCAAGTTGGTAGACCCATGGCTGCCTGCTTTAGATGCGACTAGTATCCCTACCGAAAATGAAACGCCTAAACCAGTCTGATACCACCAATGCCCTTGTGCGCCAGCTTACTTGCTTGCTGAAAATCGAAAGGGAAGAAGAAATAGGGAATCAGAAACATTCTGAACAGCTGCCAATCGGATTCTGTTTGAATCTAAGTAATGCAAGTAAGAAGGCAAACGAATTACCTTGCATAGACAGAGTACCAGAGCCACTGGGAACTGTGACCAATAGAAACAAAATCCCAAGGGAGTTGTGCAGCTGTTTCTTCCCCTCCCAATGGAGCAAATTGTCCCAAATGCCTATACCTGTAAGATAAATCACCAGAAGGTGATGCGAGAGTAATTGATTTACAACATAATCATTAAGAGGTGATTCCAATTGGATACCAAGAAACCAGAATAATAACAACAGCACAGAAGGTGACTGCAGAGATGGATTCAAGAATACAGAACAGAAAGTTTGGCTTATACCTAAATGGACGGAAGCGATGACGACCCTCTCCTCTGAATCTAAGAGGGCCTTCAGGATTCTTTTCACATTCTTCCATGCGGTTAAAACATTTAGCAAGGTAGGCACCTTGCTGGTTGGCAACCTGAATCATCAGCAGGTAATGAATTGCGATTAGCTAGGCATGTCTCAGAAAGAAATTTATAGGTTTGATTTTTGTGTGTAATGAAAATTGAAAGTTCTAATATTCGTGCTATTAATTGACACCAAACCTGTGCTGTTGCGGGGAGATTCTTCATCTGGGAATCAACTTGAGAGAGAGCCAATTTAAATTCTTCAATGTTCACTTCAATTGTTTCTTCTTTAGCAGGATTCCCTTTAGCCTCCTTCACCAGGTCAACAATGCTAAGCATCTGCTTGTTCTTCAGATAAAGCTCGACTTGAGGATATCTTTCACAAATATCAGCAATGACTTCTTCGAATTCTTTGACTGTGAGTGTTCCAGACTTGTCCTTGTCTGCCTTGCTAAAAATAACAGAGATATCTTCCTGAAACCAATAGCATGGGAATGAGGAAGACTTACAGGAAAAAGAATAACCACCAATATATAGGAACGCAAAAGGACTGGGTGGTCATTAAATCAAAAAATTGGAATAACAACACTAAATGTTGAAAATTGGAAAAGAAATATTAATGTACCAGTGATTATGATTATAAGATCCAAAAATAGGAAAGGAGAGAAGATGGATACCATGACTTTCCGCTGGTTAATTGTTGCACAATCACCAAGTGCATAGATGTTATCACATCCTTCAACTCGAAGCCATTCATCAGTTGCTAAAGCCCGCCTATTTCCCTGTGTTGAAAGGACTACATGTTAGGCTAATGTGGCTAAGAATAATATTCACTGGCACGAATGCTATTGGAAACAACTATTCAAGAAGTCCTGAGCTCCTAGGTTTTAAGTAACTGACCTGACCAATTTGCTGCATGAATTCCTTTATGACAGGACGAGGGCCAATACCAGTTGACCAGAGACACATTCCATATGGAATGGAAGAGATTTCACCACTACCCCTTTCCTTTGTAGAAATATCTTTATCAGTTACCTTCGTGACCATTGAGCCTAATTTCACATCAATACCCTCTCTGTTGAACTTCTCTTCAGCAAAAGCTGTAATTCTTTTGTCAAACCTGCACATACAGGACTTCTAAGAGCACGGGAAAACCGTAATATTTTCAAGCAAATTCTTGATTAATTTTTGAAACTTCTGAAGAGTACTGGTATTCACTGTGAATGGATACAGAGTTGACTTGGACATTAGGACAAGAAATACGGAGGGAATTGAATCATTTCTGAGTTTAATAAGAACTATGAAACAATAACCAACCACAGGAAACCATCTCTGAAGCATAGGGGACCCACAGACACACAAGTATGGGGGGCATCAAATCATCTCTAAATCTATGTTGTGGCCCGAGTACTTACTTTCCACACAGCTAGCCTTCAAAGCTTCCAATTATTATATAATATATTTTCAACAACATTTTCTACATTGGCACAAGATGGAAACCATCTCCCACATCCGCAATTACATTTTGACCAATTTAGGATTGCAGCAATTTAGTAAAATACCCCGGTCCCACAACCCCAAACTTTAAGGAAAAGAAATTACAAATTAGGTTAGTGTCTGTTTAAAATAATCTTATCTAAAGAAAGAAAAGAAAACAGGAAGGAAGGTTTGTGTAACAATTATTCTGGCATTGCTTTCTCAAACAACTGTTTTGCAAATTGGAAAATTTGCCATATTTGCAGGACATGTACAGTAATACTAGCTGGCAATAAATGATATTGACTACACAGATTCAAGATCAAACTAGAGACAGATAATAACAGAATCCTACACCATTCAAAAATGATATTTCATATAACTTCGAATTTATCTGATCTAAGGTTCCATGTCAGTATGAATTAGGTTAGTAATGATCATAAAGAACAATAAGAAAGGATGTGAAGATTGAGATCTTACATGTTCAAAATATGGTCTGTTGCCTCCAGAAGTGTTATCTTTATATGGTCCTTGACTGCAGGATATAGTTTTGCTAAATCCTCGTTGACAAAATCGTGAAGTTGTGCAGCAAACTCAACACCGGTTGGACCACCACCAACAACCACAAAATGAAGCATTCTCTTTCTGTCCTCATCACTTAGACTTGGAAGGCTTGCCTTCTCAAAGGAATCAATAAGATTTCTACGAATATCCTGAGCCTCTTCAACTTCCTGTATTAAGAATTGTTTTGTTTTCTTTTAAGAAGTATAAAAGGAAAGACCAAATAGCTTTATTTGTACATAAAAAAATTTGTGTCCAACTTTCTGCTAGTGTTATCAAAATCCCCAAGCAACAGAAGCAAAATTTTACTTTCTCTCACTCTAATCCCATCTGGCTTTGCAACATAAATATAGGAAAGCCAATCAAGAAAATGAGGAAATGAAAGCAAACATAGCAGAACATAAGCTAATGAAGTTGATATGGCAATTACCTTCAAGAAATGGCAATTTTCCTCCACACCAGGAGTATTGAATGTGTTAACACGGGCTCCCATGGCTATGACAAGGTAGTCATAATCTACAGAAAATTCACTCTTCCCATTCAAGTCAGCAGCAGTACGACAGTAGACTTTCTTATTCACTTGATCTATCTTGTAACATTCAGCCTCCCAGTAACGAGCATCAAATTTTTTCTGTTCAAATACCAAAAAATGAACACAGTATCAGAAAGCATGTTTAACAATGAATAACTTTTACTACAGCTGCAAAACACACTCATTAACACCCGAGCATTACCTTGTTGATAATGTTGCGAATTGGCTCGACAATGCTGCGACCTTCCACTGTACCACATGTAACACTTGGCAGCAAAGGAGTGAACGCAAAGTAATTACGAGGTGACACCACTTCAACCTCGTATGAGGGGTTATTCAGACTCTTTAGGAAACTCATCCCTGCCCAACCAGTTCCAAGCACAACCACCTTCTTCTTCTTGGTAGGTTCAACAGCATTTGCCCCGCTTGGTGTATTTACCTCAGCGTATACAATACCCCCGCCACTGCAACAGTATGTCAGCATGTTCATAACGCAAATGAAAGTGAAAAGCAGAATAAGATCTAATATCACAACTACAAAATTAATAACAAAATCAACTTAACAGATACAATACAACGAGTTACAGAATTAAAATTATTTTACTTAAAAAATCCAAATCATAGGTGACTCCTTATAATTACGAATCACACCGATTAAATTGCAGTTCATGTCTCCCTTTCCAGAAAAACAAAAATCCAGTTTATGCAAAACAGGGGAAATTCAGTCACACAGAGCACATCAGATCCGTATTAGAATAATTCAAACACTCTAACCGCTAGTTTTAAACGGCTGTATCAAATAATCCGTAAGGCTAAGAACTCAAACTCCACGGGCCATACAGGTAGGGACTCATCATGAACAGAGTAAATACATCGTTGTCGTGTACAATTAGCAGCAATTAGATCCAATAACAAGTTAAACAACAACAGAACCGAACCAAACAAGATTAAGCAAGTACCAGTCCAAATCCAAAATGCATCGCGAATGCAGAGAAAAACTGAAAACAGTATCAGATTGAACAAAAACAAGAAGGTGAAGGCCGCGAGTACAGAGAACGTCGGGAAACAGTATCAGATTGAATGAAAGCAAGAAGGTTATGGTACTGGAACGAAGGAGTCGAAACGGAGTATTACCTGACTCCGATTGTGGAGATGGCGAGGAGTTTGAAGAGAGTTGGATGTTCATTGTAAGCTCTCGAAGCTCTCTCGAAGAAGTTGAAATTCCTCATGCCGCCGGCGAAGAAAAGCGCTCAGATCTGTATCCGAGAATTTTGGAGAAAACGGAGGGATAAGCAATAAACTGTTCTGTTACGTATGAAAAATGGAATGAGAAACGTTTCAGGTAGGGAAAAGGAGGGAGGCGTGGTGGTGCTTCTAGTATGAACCGGAAGTCGGGTGGAAATGGCTAAATAAAAAGAGATGCGCGATTTAATATTGAAATTATCAAAATATCATTATAAATATAAATATAAAAAAATTATAAAAGTTATGTTTTATAATTTTAATATTTAAATTATACACTTTTGTTAATCTTTAAATATTTTAATTTATTTTTAATTTTTTAAATATAAATTTTAAAAAAATAATAATTTATATAAATAATAATTAATATTTTTTATATATATTATATGGGTTGAATATTTTTACGTAATAAAAAATTTGAATTATTATTTATATAATATATAGGAGCGAACCTTATCTTTTGGTAATACTTGGCATTGAAAAAAACACTTTTGAAATAAAAATAAAAATAATTATTGTAAAATAAAAAAAGTCCAACTAAATTGGAGGAAAAGGTGGAGAGCGAGATCTGCCCATCGTTGTCACGACGGTTCCAGCTGCAGTCATTGATTTTCTTGATGACTTGGGGGGCAAGGTTGAGGTGGCACGTGTTTGTTATGAGGAGTAAATTAATATGAAATGATATAGTTATAATAAAATATTATAAATTTATAATTATAAGATATTATTTTTATATATACAATATTTTATAAAAAAATTAATACATATTAAATAAATAAATAAAAAAAAACTTTATATAATTCAAACACATAACTTACAAAAAATAATTTACATTAATCTCGAGTTTAAGCTATTAAATTAAAATGTAAGGAATATATTTACATATAATGTTATAAGTTAATTTTAAATAAAAAATTAATTATATAAAATATATTATATTATATTATTATAATATTATGTGTTGTTATAATTATATTATCTTTGATATTAAAAAACGATTTAGGGTAGACGGCTTTATTTGACCGCGCTCTAGCTGGGGGAGATCTGACCTTTCTTATCGGTGGCTCACCAAACGATCAATTGGGGTTTTACTTTTATACGGAGACCGAGTCTTGCGTTGATTAATAAAATAACTGTAATGACAACCCAAAAAAATAAAATAACTGTAATGGCTTTGAAATTTTAATCGAGTTAAACGGAGAATATAGGCAAATGGCTTTGAGCTCTAAACCCTTTTAGCCATTGTTCAATTAGGTCTCTAACTAATTGGTTCTTGCAATTGGGTCCTTCTTTAACAATCGATTTTACTCCCTTTTCGGCCAAGATCAAATTTGCTTCCTACGTCATTTGTTTTCATAACAATAGTTATGATGTGAGACATACAATCACACATTAAAAACCAAGTGTAATTGTAGATAGTAACATATATCGAATATAATTAATTAATGCTAAATAATTTAACTTTAACTTTTAATTAAGAGTTAATTTTTGATTTAAAGAGTTGTTAAATTAATTAGTGGAGGTTTTGACTTTAATGTATATGATTTTCATGGGGTACAACTTTTTGTTATTGATAATGTTAATGTTAAATAAATATCAATTTAGGTAAAATAATAATAAAATATTTTATTTAATTTTGTTTAGTTTAGTTATTAAGAAGTAATTAATAGTTGATAATTGATATTTGACAATTGTTACTCATGAAAATGTTGTTATAAATGACAAAACTAAAAATTAAAGAATAACTTTATTTTTTACTTATTTGAGGTTAATTGTTTGTTATTACAAAGATTTAAAATTTTAAATTAACCTACAATTAAAGTTGATAGTGTGTGGGAGGTAATTTGATTACAATCTCATTATTAATTACTTAATCTTAACATTTTAGTAGTTTTAGATAAAGAAGTTGGTTTTCATTTATGTGACAATTTGCACATGCCTTTAATAAAAATAAGTGAAATAATCATTGTGTAACTAAAATAAAATCTTGCTGATAAAAAAAATAAAATCTTAAGGTAAGAGATCCAGTTATCACAGTTAAGAGATTATAGAGCTACTTGGAACACTTTTAAAAGGTTGGGGATTGTGGACTTAATTAAACCCTTGCATATGCAATTGAAAATTGAAATGATTCCCATTTCACAAATTACTAAAAATAACTTAATGATATTTTTTTTAATAAAATTAAGAGATATTATATTGGAGTTGTAATATATAAATAAAGCGAGTTAAAGAATTAAAGTGAATTTTTTTAGAACTTAAGATCAAAAATTTTTAAAAAAATACATACATTATTAATATTAAATTAAAAATAAATTTTATATTTTTTAATATAAATTAATAATAATAACATCACATGGTTTAACGTGGAAGGATGGAGAGGAAAGAGCCACCAAAAACATTGGAGTGTTTAA